TTAAAAGTAAACCTGAAAACTAAAACTTAAGTATATAGCTTTTTTAAAAAGTTAGTATATTTCAAGTTTTCTGTTTAAAAAAATTGTGAAACGATACAGCTGTAAAGTGCATCTTCTCAATGAAAGTAGTATCTTGTGTAGGATTTTATTCTGTCTTTCAATGTTGAATGGCTTTAGAGTCTACACTGCATGCTACAGACTTTTCAAAAGCGTCTCTTGAGATCTTGCAGAAGAAATGATAGTCTTGCCCAAGATTAATTCATAATGTCTCTCTTTCAGGTTCATGTTGGGGAGAGGTCTAAAACGCAAGCTGAGTGACTATGAGGAGAACATGGCTGGTCTCTCGAGTGCCTTTGATTCCAGTCGAAATCTGCCATATCCGCTTAAGAGGCAGTTGGTGCTTAATATGTGCCTCACCAAGTTACAGACGTACAAAATGCTGGTGGAACCAAACTTGCACCGCTCTGTCCTCATAGCCAACACAGTACGGCAAATTCAAGAGGAAATGAGACAAGAGAGTAATCAGCAGCCGATTAATGTCTGCCTTGGCATTACTCCTAGTTCCCACAGCTATACAGGGGTGGAGTCATCTGGGATTTCTCTTCAGTTGCCTTCAGGTATTAGTCAGCAAGAATCTAACTGTTGCGACTTGCGGTCTGTAGAAGACCCAATTGAAAATAGCCTGCTGATAGTTTCAGATGATGATATGTCATCTGCTATTTCATCTATTCTGAAGGATTTAGACTTTGTAGAAGATATAAGCCCACCTACTTGTCTGGTTCCTACTGGAGATGACCAGCCAAAGTTTCCAGAAAATACTGGTCTAAAACTAGAAGATGATAGACAGGATTTGAAGGGAGCTGAATGTGTGTTTGGTTCCTTTGAGATTTCAAATTCAACTAGTTACTTGAAGGATTTGGCAATAGATGACATTTTTGAAGATATTGACACTTCAATGTATGATTCAGACTTCTGTTGCCCTCCACTAATGCCGCCCAGACCACCATCTCTTGCTACAGAAGAACCATTGAAAACCTTTCCATCTTGTAATTCTTCTTCAGCAAGCAACATTCAGATATGTAGAACAGATCTGAGTGAGTTGGACCACATCATGGAGATTCTGGTTGGATCCTGATACTTGTTTTACCCAAAGATACTTTTTAACTGCCACTTTCATTTGGTTTCAGGATAAAAGCCACTGGAAAAGTTGTAAAGAATTCTTTAAAACACAAACTAAAGATAATTTGTCCGTAGTGGGATTTTCTAAAAAAAATCCAAAACTTATAAACCAAAAAAGTGGCAGATTTTTTTTTAAAAAAAAAAGAAATATTTATTTATCAGAACTGTGCAATCATCTTTTTCCTTCCAGGGTGTATGTGGAACAATAGGCACATACCCTTATCACCCCTCATGCCTCTTTCAATAAACTTTTTTATGTGCAATTTTTAATTTGTCAGAAGAATTTACATGCAAAACAAATTTCATATGAGATGATCTTTTAGAAAGCCTCCACTTTATTTTTAATATCAGAGTCTATGCCAGGTTGGCATACGTCAAGTTGCATAGTTGGATTGTGTGGATTGCAGACGCATTACTAGAGATGGGTATATTTTAAAAATGAGACACACTTTGCTTTCTTTTGGTCAGAAAAGCAGATCAAGACACTTATCAATGAAGTCTCTTGCATTTTCTAAAGCATTCAGAACTATTTATTTTTGTAAATTTTATAGTCTTTCTACATTTTACTACGTTATTTCATCATAGTTCAAATATAATGGACTTCTAGTTGGATGTGTTTAGCACTACCTCTGAGCTGAAATGCTTTAACTCTTTCCAGTGCTTCATCTAAGACTGCAGATCTTTGTTTTTATTTTTTTTTCTGGGAGAAAGTACTTCTAACTCATTAAGCTGATCCTTTGACAGTGACCTAGCTGATTTGTGAAATCAAGGGTATTCAATGTTTAAAAACTTTTAAGTATTTACAAATGTAATTTATATGTAGATTGTGCAATTTAACATTTTTCTGTCAGTATTACGTGCTTAGATTTTGAATAATCTTGGCGTTCTTTAAATTAAAACTTACTATGTACAGGTAGCTTTTTAATCTGTTTTGGAAAACACTGTCCTTCAACCCTGCTTTCACTACAAAGTTTAAGATGATTTTTATGTGCAATATTATTTAAAAAGATACACATTTTTATACCTGGCCTTGCGGAAAGAAACGCTTCAAACTTAAAACTTCTAGCACCTTTGGAGGATACTCAAGAGAGCCAACATTTCTGTATCCTTTAAGAAACAAAGTTGAGAACACTTCTTACGACACCAGTGCTTACTGCTTTGAATACTCCTGGAACACTCATTGCTATGTGGTGAGGCAGTGTTGATGACTAAGTACCACAGCATGGCTGTGTCTTTGAGAGCTCAGGGGTCTGACTTCTCGGATGCGGTGTCAGGGCTGGGGCCTGCATGGGCTTTGGAAGCATCATGGTGGTTGCTGCTGATGCTGCAGATTGCGCTGGGGAAGGAGGGGTGTGTGTGTATGGCAGGTGTGTATATAAGTATATATAAACGCACTCATTAACTGAAGATGAGATTTGCGGTGAGAACTATTTTTCTGTCAGATAGTTTGGATACTGTGTTTCAGCTTGAACTGAGGTCGATATTGATCCTTGCTATCGTCTTCTAAATTACACACTTGCACATTAGCTTTTGGTTTGTTTTTTATTTTCTAATTATAAAACTTCTACTTTGTTCTTGAAAGCTGCAGCACCTGTCTTGTAAGAAATGCAGTTGTAAAGGTTTTGCTTTGGTTTGTTGGTTTTGGGACTTTTTGTTGTTGTTGTTCTGCTGAAACTTTTCATGAATGGGGGGCATCGGCAGAGGAAAAAAAATGTTGCCTGTGTGTTGCATCTCACCAGAAGCTGAAATCCTGGCCCTGTTGAAGGGGCCAGGGTGTCAACTAGTATTTCTAGTCTTAACTGATGCTGTGGCACACCTAGCTTGTGCAAAGATCTCCATTTTTTACTGTGACTATTTTGGTTAACAGTTAGCTGCCAATATAATTTGGTATCCCAAACCAATGGAGAACCAGTTCAGGTCACATCCTCGCAGCCATCTGGGTTGTTTAGCAACCGAAGGGTATAAATGTATTTATATGCATATAATGTATTGATTCTAATATAAAACTTCTGATCTAAAGTATTTTGAATTGCTGGATAAAGGGATTCATTTGAAGAGTGTATAAATAGTTCTTGAAGAGGTACAGCTTCAGAATGTACACAGATTGTGCATTGTGTATAGACTACTCTGGCTTTTCCTCAGCCTCTACTTTTGTATTAAAGGTATGACTGAATAAATCCTTGAAATATTAAGGGCCTTCTGCACTGTGATGAAGCAGAGTTGTGGTTAAAAATGTCTTTCAATTCAATGATGAGGGATAAAATAAAAAGACTGCATCTTATTTCTTTTTGCATTTGAAAATACGGAATGTTACTATGCAGTAAAGATATTTTGGTATGAAAATTGTATCATGTAGCAAATAGTGAACACTTAATAAATCCACTTACTCACCTTGCAGCCCCTACAGAAACATAAGAGAAGACAACTTGCATTTCAGCATTTAAATGCTGAGGTTTTTTGTATACTTCAGAAAGATTAAATTATTGGTAGATGTTTTATCAACAATTCAAAATGCTATTTTTGTTCAAGTGCTTGCTACAAAGCTCTGTTTCTAATTGGTTGCTTGCATCACAGTGCCAAGACCATAAGCTGGTATGTAATGCAGTTTGGTTATGTATGGAATTATGTGCAAAGGGAAGCTTAACTTTTAAATATGCACAAACTACTTTTAAAATCCTTCCATGTAAAATGAAGTTAGAGGCTAGTTGTGGTGGACCTATTTATTGTATGTTTGGAAATAAAAGCCACAGTTTTGCAGTTTAACCATTTATATTTTGAAGCCTTCAGTATTTGACTGGTTTAAAACAAAACAAAAAACCATGGTACCTTGCTACCCTTCATGTGGTCTTTTACTCACATAGATGTAATTTCCTCCCTAGGTGGTTGCTTTTGTACCTTTTTTTTTTCTTCTTTTTTCCTTCATTTCTCCTCAGAAATACTAAATACTCTACACAGCTTTGCTGTTACAGAAATTATGCATGCCAGCCACCGTAACAGGGTTTGACTCCAGGTTTCCACATAAGCTGAAAGCTAAATTCCTCTATGAAAGTACTTTTTATTAATAGTGCTACAGCTCAAGCTGGGTGCCTTTGAAGAGGGACCCCAAACAAAGAAATCCCTGGGCAATTATACCATTACAATCTAAGTTCCCCACCCTTCACGCAGTAATTCAGACCAACAGTAATGTTAAGGTCTGGGGTCTTCTTGTTTTTTATTGGTTTGATTTGTTAGCTGTTTTGTTACTAAGCAGTTGCTAAGTGGTCATCTTCTTACACAATATCACGTCCTCCTAGATTGGTTTCTGGGATATATATATGCCATATACCACAATCTATAAGCTTTGTCTACTTTCGCTATTAATATTTAAGCTGCTAGCTTTGTCTGCTCTATTATTAATGTTTAGGGTGTTAGCTCTTATGTTTCAACTAACTTTTTCTGCAACATCGTGTCCCCTGTGTGTGTCCTGTCCCTGCAGAACAAGGGTGGCTCACAGACCATTTTTTCTGGCCGCTGGGTTGGGGGGACTCTTGTTGTGAGCGGGTGACATGTTTGTTAGGATGTAGCTGTCCTCTGGTTTTTGTCTCGACTGCCCTATGTAGTCTTCCCAGCCCATGCAGTTCTTAGTGTTGCTTCAGGGTTACTGAGCTTGAAAGCAAGCGTCAGATAGAAGTGTCCTTGATGTACGTACTCTTGACACTTCAGAATTGTATACTTATCAGTTTGGGACAAAAATACTGCCATGCAGTTCTAGTGGAAGGTTGTTTGCTAGTCTGTGCTAATACAAATTACACCAGCAACTTCAGGTTTAAAGGTTTCCATCCTCTTCCTGTTGTGAACCTCTGAAATGAGATCCTGACTCTTCTGCAACAAACTTCATTTTATTGATGAGACTGCATTGGCTGCTACTTACAGACCAGGAATTCTTCCTGCCTTTCGTCCTGGAGCCTGGTGACCACAGTGTGAAAAGCGTAGGTCTAGAAGTAATTTCTTCACAGAAATCTGGTTTTGGCTGTGAGGTCATTACCATCACATTGTTGATCCTGTGACTGCATTACTGATTAGGACACTGCTGATACTGCAGTACAGACCTGCTCTTGTACTGGTGGGTCTTGAAGTTTGGCAGTAGAAAATGCTGCCTTATGAAGGTGTGCTGCAGTTTAGTCTTTAAAGAAAATATTTTTGAAGTACTGCTTTCAGGTCATCTTGAGACTCTTTAAAGGTGGTGTAGGGTTTCATATACTTCCCTCAATTTTAGCTGCACTGAAGGATCTGAACCTAAAAGTATGCTGAGCAGCACAGCTCAGTGCAATGCTGATTTAAAACATGGCTGGTTGGGGAGGTGCAGGTACTGCCTGGAGTGCTCTGTCTAGCTCCGTATTCTGTATACTGGAAGTGAGACTTAAAAAGACTAACTTTCCAGCTCAAGCAAGAGTAAAATACACAAAAGATGATAGCCTATCCATTAGCTCTGCAAGGAACATGAGTTATAATTAGTTGCAAAACTAATTTTGAGCTATTAAAAAAACAATATTAGAAGTGAAGAGTTAAGCTATTAAGATACAGAAGTGTGTCTTGAAAAGTATGTATTATTAAAGCAGATGTTCAGGGAAGCTGGAAGATTTTTGGCATTTAAGTATTTGCCTAGCATTCACAGGCATCTTGCCTTGACTGAAAACGAAAAAAATGTTGCAACTTCATTCCATACATTTTTCCCTCATTAGGACCCATTTATCCCAGCAGAGCACTAAGCTAGACTGGCTGTGCTTTGGCACCCAGGCTGTGTTGTGGGATGACAATTTTGGAAGGTATTTCGGTAGAAGGAATGGAGAACTGCAGCTAGATGTGACCAAAGTGAGCCTGTTGCATCTCCTGGCTGGGTGCGTTGTTTCTTCTCTTTGAATCCTCCAGAGTGGATCTGGCAAGTTCAGCTGATCCACAGAGAAGTTTGGGGTTTAA